GAGAAAGGATAATCAATTGTGTTAGGCTTGCTGAGAAGGCAAACTGAAACAAAGAAAGCTCAGTTCCCCATTTTCTTTGACTCTGCCAACCTCACCCCCCTTGCCACCCCTGGCTCTTTCTCCCTTTATTCTCAAATGCAGCAAGCTGCAGCTAATGACTCCAAGCTGGCTTGGTGGCTCTCTCGCTTATCACCAGCCAGAAATCTTCAAACCCAGCGCCAAGCCATCAACAAACAGCCACTAGAGTCACAACACTTCACAGTTTACAGAACAGTTTATACATGATCTGATTAGAGGATGGTCTAGCGCCTGTTCTTAAAGATTTCACCTTTTCCCTGGATTTTAATCATTTACATTTAATCTTCTGCCCGATTAGGAAGTTCTGGTTTTTATCTCTCAGTTTAAAAGCAATCTCTCTTGTTGCACTGAAAGATAGTGGTCAGTATCTCAACTTCTTCACAAAGCCTCGGTATTTATTTGAATCCAGACCTTGGGGTTATCTATGCAGCCACCCCTGGGTTGCTAAATCACCCTAAATCTCTTAATCTTTTTTTAACGCTCCCATTTCTCATTCCTGTCACTGAGGACTCTGGTTTTAACCCATTCAAAACCAACTCCTCACCATTCTCACCCCTACCACTTATCACAACCCTCCACATACAAGTATGCCCTGCTAAATCACCCTAAATCTCTTAATCTTCTTTTAACACTCCAATTTCTCATTCCTGGCACTTAGGACTCTAGTTTTAACTCATTGAAGATCAACTCCTCACCACTCTCACCCCTACCACATATCACAACCCTCCATATCCACTTATCGCATAGCTCCATACAGTTATGCCCTGAAAGGAGTGGGAAGTCAGAGCCCAGGCTTTGGACTAAATCAAACCTGGGTCAAATCCAGTCTCTGTCACTATTTAATCTTGGGCAAGTTCAGAGCCTCGGTTTCCTCATCTAAACAATGGGGAATAATAATAACCGGCTTCATTTGTTGTTGTAAAGTTTTGAGATAAAGCACATGGAACACTTCATGGGAGGATGCAATAAATAGCAGCCGTTACCATTTTACAGGGTTCTGATAAAGGCTGACCCCATCCCAGGGTGTGAGCCAACTCCTGGTCACACACATCACACTGTCCTTTTGGCCTCTCTTTAACAGTGTTCACGATGCCTCCTCCCATTCAGGTCAGAGCCCACCAGGCAGTGCACACAGCAACCCTCCTCAAGGCGTCAGCCCTACAGCAAATCCTGGAGAACATGGTCCTGTTCAGGCCAGCCCTTTTATCTCATTTGCCAGGACCTCTGTTCTCCCATCCCTCCATCTGTTTAGTGGCTAAAAGCATGCACTCTGGTCAGACAGACTTGGGTCAAATAGAGCTCTGCCACTCTCTAGCTGTGTGATCTCAGAAAATCAATTTAATTTCTCTAAGCCCCAGTTTCCCCACACATTAAAGAGGATGGATTAAATGAGATAACCCATTTGAAGCACTTGGCATGGCATTCAGAACAAAACAAGCACCCAATAATGGTAGCTGATACATAGTGGCATTTGGGTACCATGACTCTGACGTCAGACTTCCAAGGTTCATGTACAGCTCCCCACTCACCAGCTGTGTGCTGTGGGCACCTACAATTTCCTTATGCCTCAGTGTCTTTTGCTGTAAAATGGAGATGATGATGACATGGACTTGACAGGGCTAGTGTAAGGATTAAATGAGATGATATATAGCATTTAGAACAGTGTTTGGAACACAGTAAGAACTTAGTAAGCACGGGGTGTCATTATTATTCCATCCTTTTACTCTTAACCTTTTTGGAGTTTCACATTTAAGTTTCATTGCTTAGTTGCAGCATATTTTTTTAAGTTCAATCTATCTTTTTTGTTTGTTTGTTTGTTTGGTTGGTTGGTTTCGTTTTTGAGACAAAGTCTTGCTCTGTTGCCCAGGCTGGAGTGCAGTGATGCAATCATGGCTCACTGCAGCCTTGACCTCCTGGCCTCAAGCAATCCTCCCACCTCAGCCTCCCAAGTAGCTGAGACTACAGGTGTGCACCACCACACCTGACTGATTTTTTTATTTTTTGTAGAGATGGGGTTTCATTATATTGTCAAGGCTTATCTTGAACTCCTAGGCTCAAGTGATCCACCCACCTCAGCCTCCCAAAATGCTAGGATTACAGATGTGAGCTACCATGCCTAGCCTCTTTGTCCTTTTTAAGTCATCTTTGAAGTATAATACACATGACAAAATTCATTAATTTTAAGTGTACGATTCAATTTGTTTTGTGAAATATATGCAGTCCTATAATCACGACCACGACCAAGAGATGGAATATTAGAACATGTGGAAAAAGGAAATATAAAGGAAACAATAAATTTAAAATTATAAAACAAAACAAAAAGAAACATTTTAAAAAGAGAGAGAGAATAGTTCTGACATTCCTTAAAGTCCTCAGGCCCCTTTCCAATCAATTCCCTCTTCTCCCCCCAGCCCTGAGCAACTACCCATCTGCTTTCTGTCACTGTGGTTTTGCCTCTCCTGGACTTTCATATAAGTGGAATAAAACACTATATGACTATCTTTGTCTTTTTATGGGCAATTTTATTCCATTTACATTCATTGTCATTACTGATATAGTTGGTTATAGGCCTAACATCTTAACTATTTACTTTCTATTTGTCTCACCTATTCTATATTCCTTTTAATATTTTTTCTTGCCTCCTTTTGGATAGTACTTTGGGAGGCCAAGGTGGGAGGGTCACTTGAGCCCAGGAGTTTGAGAACAGCCTGGGAAACATGGCAAAACCCTGTCTCTACAAAAAATACAAAAAATTAGCTGGGCATGGTGGTACATGCCTATAGTCCCAGCTACCTGGTAAGTTGAGATAGGAGAATCACTTGAGCCCAGGCAGTCGAGGCTGCAGTGAGCGGGAATCAGGCCACTGCACTCCAGTCTGGGACACAGAGCAAGACCCTGTATCAAAAAAAAAAAAAAAAAAAGTATTTTTATTAGTTCATATTCCCCATAGCGGTTATACATTTTTTTACTCTTTTTTCAGTGACTATCAGAGCAGTGGTTCTTAAAGTGTGGTCCCTCGACCAGCAGCATCAACACTACCTGGGAACTTGTTAGAAATGCAAATTCCCAAGCTCCACCCCAGAATCGTAAACCGTAAAGGTAAAATCCGGCAATCCAGGTTTAACAGATCCTCCCTGTGATGTTGATGCATGCTGAAGTTTGAGAACCCCTGCCCTGAGACAACTTTCGCTTCTGGCAGGCAGCTGGGCTGTGTGCATATCGCCTTCATCCTACAAGGGGTGGAGCTGATTCAAAGCCTGGTTTCAGTGCTGTGAGGGCTGGTTTGTTTCTGGGTTGCTCCTACTTCCAGCATGTAGCCCTAAAGTGGTCCCAATTGAAAACCAGGGTGTTTACTGAGGGTCCTCCTCCTTAACAGGCCCTGACCTCCAATTTTTCACCCCCAGCCCTGAGGCTTCTGGAAAAGCAGCCTCTAAGCTGCCCCTTAGGAATCAGGAAAGACCTCAAAGGAAAATGCAGTGCCAAGTGTCAGGCTCGCCTCTGTGTTTCTCTTTCCTCTGGGATCTTGGCATTCTGACCCTCCAGTTCTTGATCCCTTGAAGCCTTCATATTTCCCACCCACCACACACCACTTTTCTAGCTGTTATCGGCGGTTTGGCGTGACATGACTTAGTCTGACCCGGCTGAAAAAGGAAGCCCTCTATCCTGTTGTTATTCTCCCACTGGGAATCTAGAGTCAAAGTGAGCGTTTAGAACAGTTCCCGGCACATGGTCAAAAACTCAGTAAGTGTAAGTTATTCTTCTTCTCCCAATAAAATCCTAGAGTCCTATTGAGCTGCAGTGTTAAAAATCAACTCCTCCTAAATCTCTCATACTTTTGACAGATAAGCAAACCAATGTCACACTGTATGATTGAACTCCAGTGCAATTGGACTCAGCAGGAGGCTGTAATTGGACTCCAGCGGATTCCTGAATGGTTTCCTGCCCCTGGTCTAGAAGGTGGCAGTGTGCTCTCCATCCCTAAATCAGGGAGTGGGAAACCTCGGGCCCAGCTAAGTTCTCAGCTCAGAAAAAGACAACCTGGGTGCTGTGGCCTCAGAACCACCTTCTCTCCCTCTCCCATTGTGGGACGCAGACCCACAGCCCTAGCTGCACGATTTGGAGTAATATTAGCTTCAGAATTCCAGATCCTCTCATATCTTTCCTCTGAAGCAGAGTACACACACGCATGTGTACACACACACACGCACTCATGCATAAACACGCGCGCGCGTGGGCACACTCACCCACAGGTCCTCAGGTCACCACACAGGATCTGGAAGGCACACACTGTCCAGGGAAGACAAAGCCACAATGGTGGTGATGATAATTGTTCTGCTCTGAATGCTGGTCCCTTACTCCAGTGAACAGGGACAGGCAGACCCAAGGAATGGGCTGAAATGCCAGGCCAAGCCTAGAGCAGGAAGACTGTGTCTGGGGACCTGCCACCCTCTCCTTCTGGTCAGGACTCTGTGCTGGGTCTCCAGGATCAGGTCCGCGAACTCCCCATGTGGCCCTAGTAAGATATGGGGTGAGTATGAGCTGTATAGAGAACCATGACCCTTGGCTGGACTGTGAGCAGATGCAGCTGCTGCTAACTCGGATTGCTTCATGGAAGCAGAGGTGTGTGTGGGTGTGAGTGTGTGTGTCTGTGTGTGTGCGTGTGTGTATGTAGGGGCAGGCTTTAATGCTGTGCTCAGCTGCCAAACCTAGAAAGAACCCCTCAGCCTAAGGAGGTTTTAAACTGATTTTAGATAATTTGGCTCAGAAGAAATCTATGCACTTAATTTTTTTCTGGTTTAAAAGTAGTGCATGTTCATTGTAAAAAATAATAATAATAAATATGGAAAACGGAAAAACCAGAGTGTGAAAAAGAAAATGAAAAGCACCTGTGCTCCCACCTCTGGAGATAATCACTCTTGACATTTTGGTGGAGTTGAGATTACATGCACTTACCATTTTCTTTTCTTCTTTCTCACTGAATCTGCAATGAGTATTTTCTCATGTCATTACTCCCTGTAAACCTGTTTGAAGGCCTCGTACCACCGTATTGTGCACAGTAATTTATTTAACTTGTTCCCAATTGCTGGACATTTAGGTGGCTTCCAGTTTTTCATATTGTGTAAAGCCAGGACCATATGTCTTTGTGCTGAGCCCTGCTTAAAGGCACCATCAGAGTGCAAGGGAGAAGGAAAGCCGGGAAAGGCTAAGTGTGGCTGGGATTGCAGAGGCTCAGCTGGGTGTACTTTGACCAAGAAAGTCTGACAGGAGCAGTGATGGGGGAATAAGGGGATGAACTGGGATTCAGCTGCCCCTGCCTGCTTTGAACAAGCAATCTTCAAATTCCCCTATGGTCTTCAGGAATCTTTCCGTCCCTCCTGGAGAGATCAGACAGGAGGGCAGTCCTCCTGGTGCGGCAGAGTGTAGGACAGGGTGAGTCAAATGCAATAATCTGCTCTGTGGGCCCTGGGGCTGCCCACTCCCACCCCAAGGCCCCTGCATACCTCAGCCCCCATGGATGGTGACAGCACAGTGTACCTGACTCGAGGCTGCAGGTTGAAGGGACATACATTATGGCCAGCTGGGGGAGAGGCTGAGGACCTTTGGGGGCCATGTCTTCCATTCCCAGAGGGTGGGCAAGATGGGCAGGAGTGGAGGGGCAGGGCTGTGACTGGGGCAGTACAGGGGCAGTCAGGAAGCTGGAGATGAATCCATGGCTCTGTTGCCATTCTGGAAAACTGATGCCTTGCTTTCCTTTGCCTTCCTCAACCTGATCAAGGGGCTCTGGTAGGGAAGGGGATGACTGTGCCCCTCACTAGGCTCTGCATGTGTTCGCCTACCACCGACCCTCAAAAGGGGGCAGAGGACAAGAAGACTTAACTTCTGTGGGGCTCCTTAGGGGCACAGGATCATGGAATGTTAGTGCTACAGTTGATTGATATCAGTGGCCATTTCATGCAATCACTCATTGGGGAAACTGAGGGGCCACATCAAAAAACTAATAAGGGGTGAACCAGGCATGGAATCCCAGTGTACCTGACTCCCAACTCCATACGGCTTACAGTGCTCACATGCCCTCAACCCCACACCTGTGGTCACAACTGCTGGGAGAAGGGAGACCATGGCAGGGGCTCCAAAGCTGCCCTTGGAGGGCAGAAGAGACCAGTCCTCCTGGAAATCTGCCCAGAGGAGCCCAGCCCAGCAAGGCCTCTGCTTTGGGCACTCCGTGCTCCCCACCTGCTGGAACATGCCCTCCACATCACTATAATCCAAGGGGTTCCCTGTATTTTTGACCCCCAGAGAGGAAGGAGGAGGCCCTGCGTTTGTGAGCACTGAAGAGCTATGATGCAGGCCTGCATGACCTGCCCAAGCCTGTGTGCCCCATCTCTGCCTGTGGAGAGGCGTCTGGCACAGCTGCGTGACACCCTATATGGAACTCACCTCTTGTTAATGTACCAGCAGGGCCCTGAGGCCCATGGCAGCCCAGCGTCTCCAGACCATCTATGCCCTCCCTGGTGGAGGAGCTGGTGCTTGGGCCACATCCCCTTCTCTGAGTCCCCCCGTGATTGTTTGGTAGATGTTCTTGGAGCCCGGCTTAGAGGCAGCCGCCCTTGGGTTCACAGCTGAGAGCCATGGGCAGTGTCTTCTTGCCCCTTTGCCCTCATACGGCCAACAACCCCCACCCCACTTCCTAGGAAGTCAGCCAGAGGATCCTGACCCCTCATGGACACACCCTCAGTGTCTTCGTCCAGGCCTGCCTGGCCCCACTCCTCCCTTGCTCTGTCCCAATACCTGGGCATTGTTCCTGGAGCCACGCTCTGTCTTCGGGTTTCTCAGGAGCCAGCTTCCTAGCATCCAGGCATTTCTCTTGGGGCAGAAGCAGAAACTGCTCTTTTCCAGGATTTGGCTGTGGATTCTCATGGGGGCTGGGACTGGAAAGGAGACTAGATAATCGCAGCCCTGGGAGCAGCAGGGTCTCCCTGCACTTTGCCCTTCAGCCTTAGCAGAGACCTGCTAGAAGGCCAGACATGGCCCCAGGTGGGTGACGCCAAGGTCTGAAGCCCAGAAGTCAGGGCGGCAGCAATCCCCTCTCTCAAAATCTACCACATATTCTCATCCCAGCCATCTCTTTGGCTCCACAAAACAACTTTGTGGGGATGTATGGATGGTAATCCCTATTACCTTCCACACCTTACAGATAAGAAAACAGAGGGCACAAAGATCTGCCCAAGGCCTCAAGGCCAGGACTGAATCCCCGATCTTCAGATTAGAAATCCAGGGCAAGACACAGCCCCATCACCCTCCAGCTTTGCGATGGGCCAAGGAGGGGGACAGCAGGAGGTCCCCGGAGCCCCTAGACCGCCCCTCCCCTCTCTGCATACCCCACTTGCACCTGCCACAGCCCAATGTGTGTGGGGGGATTGTGGCTTCCCAGGTGCTCAGTAGGTACTCAGAGCAGCTGAAGGAGGAAGGGAAGCCCTGGGTGTCTCCATACTTCCAGCTGGGATATACAGGTCCAGACCTCGGCACCCAGGATGCCCCACCTTAGATCCTGCAGGAACTTCTGAAAGTCTCAATTTGCCTTAGGGAGGAAGTTACTAAGGTGTATCCCTCTAAGACCATTGCTAGGGGCAAGCATCCTCACTCAGTAAGAGCTGACAGCTGTGAGCACACACCATGTGCCAAGCTCTGGGCTCAGCGCACTCCCATTCGACCCTAGAATGAATTCTCTCTCAACCCCAAATCCCACCTGCCACTGAGTCCTGTCAGTATCTCCCAGGATCAGTTCCCTTTCCTCCATCTGTACCACCACTGAACCCTAGTTATCTTCACTTGCCTGCAGCCATAGCAAAGGCCCCTTAATGAGGTCAGTCAGTCCAGCCCTCTCCAGTCCACTCCCTACACACAGCCATGGGGAAGGCTTCAGGACCCAGATCCCACCCTAGCACCTACTCTTAGACTCCAGCAGGGCTGCACAGTCTGGCTCCCACACCCCATCTCACACCTCCATCTGTGCCCTGCACACCTGCCTTCTCCTGTATCCAGCCACGGGGACTTTCCACACATTCTTCCTTCTGCATGAAACGTGTTCCCCATCCTCTTCACCTCGTTGACCCGCACACACTCTTCCTTCAGATCTCAGCTTTACGGCCTTCCCTGGGTCTCTGTGTCAGCTCCGTCCATTGTGTGTGCTTACATGCACCTGCTGTACTTCTTCGGGGCAGAGATATGATTTTACACTTGTCTTCTCCATCAGACTGGAAGTTTTGTGAAGACAAAGCATGCATCTGCTCCCTCTCCCTACTTCTCATCTTTCTCACCGTGGTACCCCAAGCATCCGGTACAGTGCCTGGCATATAGCTGATGCTCAATAAATATGTGTTGAATGGACAAATGACTAAGCCAACTCTGTGGGGTAAGCACTACTGCCAGCCCCAATCTACAGACAAAGAAACGGAGGCCCTGAGAAGTGAAGTAGCCAGTTCCAGGTCCCGCATCTTGCAAAGGACAAAGGCAGGGTTTGAGCTGAGTCAGACTGCAGAACCCATGCTCTTCACCACTTTGGGTCCTGCCTCCAGTACCCTGGCCTCAGTGCTTGTCTGTCTTGCTCTTCTGACAGGCTCTGAGGACTGCTCGGCTGGCCCAGGCTCCCCTCCCCAGCAGCTGTCCCCAGAACCATGGAAAGTCTGAGTGAACTACAGAACCCGCTGCTGCCCAGGAGCCCCTCCCACCTCCACGGCCCCTATCCCTACCCTGAGGCCCCACCCAGCTGGTCCTACCAGGAAAAGCTCTACTCCTACCTCCTAGGCGGCACTGGGCCTGCTGGAGCTCACCAGCTCCTGGACCCAGGGTCCCTGCAGCTGGCCGTAGAGGCCTGGTACCGGCCCAGCTGCCTCCTGGGGAGAGACAAGGTCAAGGAGCCCAGGGCAGGCAGCTGTGAGACCAGCTTCACAGAGGACAGGGAGCCCCAGGAGGGGCCCCCAGAGCAGCCCACAGGACCTGGTCAAGCTGCAGAGAATGTCACCATCCAGACTGTGTCCTACGGGGTACAAGAGGAGCTTCGGGACCAGGAGGACGACCAGGAGGAAGAGGAGGTGAGTGAATGAGGTTTAAATGCAGATTCCAACCTGAGCAACACAAGGAGACCCTGACTCTACAAAAAAGTTAAAAATTAGCCTGGCATGGTGGCGTATGCCTGTGGTCCCAGTTACTCAGGAGGCTGAAGAGGGAGGATTGCTTGAGCCCAAGAGGTTGAGGCTGCAGTGAGCTGTGATTGCGCCACTGCACTCCAGCTTGGGTGATAGAGCAAGACCCTGACTCAAAAAAATGTAAATAAATAAATAAGTAAATAAATAAAATGCAAGTTCTCAGAGCCTCATCACCAGATATTGAGATCTACTAGGCCTAGACTTGGGCCCAGGAATCTGTATACTACCAAAGAAAAGGACTTGGGACACAGGTACAGCCCATGCTTTGAGAAACACGAGTTTGGAGTGCCTATTTCATTGTTCAGTAGCACTTGTTCTTGTTTTCTTAATTATATAAATAATTTAAACTCAGCGCACTCAAAGATAACATTTTGGTGAATGATTGTGTAAGTCTCTTATTCACATTTTACCCCAGCCCACTCCCCAGAAGAGATCTTGCTGTACATAGTTTTATAATCTGATTGTATTTCTCTAAGCAACATATTTGAGTATTGCTCCACGTAATTTAATGTATTCCTGAGAGGTGATTGTTAATGGTTACATGGTCTTCCATTGCAAGTTCTTCCATCATTTATTAACACAGTCTCCTGGTCACTGGTCATTGAGATTGTTTCTTTTTTTTTTTTTTTTTTTTTTTTGAGACAGAGTCTCACTCTGTTACACAGGCTGGAGCGCAATGGCACGATCTCAGCTCACTGCAACCTCTGCCTCCCAGGTTCAGGCGATTCTCCTGCCTCAGCCTCCCAAGTAGCTGGGATTATAGGCACCTGCCACCACACCCAGCTATTTTTGTATTTTTAGTAGAGAGGGAGTTTCATCATGTTGGCCAGGCTGGCCTCAAACTCCTGACCTCAGGTGATCCACCCACCTCAGCCTCCCAAAGTGCTATGATTACAGGTGTGAGCCGCTGTGACCAGCCCATTGAGAGTGTTTCTCTTCTTTCACAATTGCTATCCTATGATGAACAACCCTCATGTAGGTATTTGCCTTCTTTCCTCGTGATAAATTCCTAAAAGTGGAATCATTGTGCCATTGTTAAGGCTTTGGTAGAAAGTGCCAAGGCCAGCCTACACCCCCACCTGCGGCAGAAGAGACTGCCTGTTGCTCCATGTCACTGGCCACTGGGCATTGCCTTTTTAAAAACCTCTTCCAGCCTGCTGGGGCGGGGCTGATCCTGGGCCTGGTCACTAAACCCCACTGTTTTGCAGAGCGATGCCACTTCAACGGAGAGCGAAAGTGAAGACAACTTCCTCACGCTGCCTCCCAGGGACCACCTGGGCCTTACTCTCTTCTCCATGCTCTGCTGCTTCTGGCCACTGGGCATTGCTGCCTTCTACTTCTCCCAGGGGGTGAGAGCACCTGGGGCCCAGGGGCTCTTCCCTGGCCCATCCCTCTACTTGAGGGCTTGGCATCGCGTCTACAGGATGGGGTCAGGGGCCTGGCAGGCTGGGCTGTTTTGCTGGGTGTGGGGACACTCCTGTTCATCAGCATGTCTCTCTCCCTAGACCAGCAAGGCCATCTCCAAAGGGGACTTCCGCCTGGCCAGCACCACCTCCCGCCGGGCCCTCTTCCTAGCCACACTCGCCATCGCCGTGGGGGCCGGTCTCTACGTGGCCGTGGTGGTGGCTCTGGCAGCTTACATGTCCCAGAACGGCCATGGCTAGTAGCCAGTAGGGCCTGCATCCTGACTCCCCTGCCCACCTGAGGAAGCAGTGGGGTTTGGGGTTGCAGACGCTATGGAAAGGCCCAGCCCCTGAAGATGATCCCGGGAGAGTGGCTTGCTGAGGGGGAGACCCCCATTCCGCAGCCTGCAGAGCTCAGCCTTCACTTCTGCTTGCCCGCTGCTCCCAGCCCCAGAGCAGGGCCCGGGGCCCCACTCTCTAACCCAGGCTACAGACGGGAAGCAGAAGGCAGGGCTGCCCACCAGGCCATCCCAGCGGGGCCTAGCTCAGTCCATTCTGCCCATTCCCTAGAAGATCTCCTGCCCTACAGCCAGCCCACCACCTACCCTGCCAACCTCCCCACAGAGAAAGAGCAGGAGGTTACAGGGAGGAAAGGGGGTGCCCAGGGCACAAGGGGACCTGTCCCAATCCTTTCAGCCCACAGGGATCTTCACCTGGGGACAGCCTGAGCTTCCCCCAACTCCACTCTGGCCCCATCATGCCCAGACCTCAGCAGGCCAAGAAGGAAATATGTGGAGACAAGGCGGCCTCTTGCTGTCTCTGATTCTACGGGGTGCTTATCTCCCCACGGGCTTGTGAGGCACTGTAGATTCTAGATAGGGAAGAGGAACCTCGGTATATAAACTCTGAACCAAGGGCAGGTTCTTGGAGCTTCTTTATGTGGGTGCAAAAGGCAGTTGCAATGACAGAGAGTCCTGAAATATTGCTGGACTACATGAGTCTTCCTACTCTCCCCCCACTCCCTGCCCCCATCATCCTTTTCTGGGCTTTGCCTGGGAGTCCATGAGCTGGTGCCATCACAAATAGACTAGACCCAGAGAGTGCCCTCAGCTCACCAGCCACTGAGTGCAGGGCCCTAGGTCCAGCCCTGCAGAAAATGCAACAAGGAGAGACCCTAGGGAGTAGTATAGATGAGGGAAGGGACTCATGGAAGGAATGGCCTGCTGAGTAGTCAGCAGTGCTTAGGAAGGCTTCCTGGAGGAGGTGTCCCTTGAGCAAGGCCTAGGATGAATAGAATTCATCTAAGGGATTTGGTCACATAATTCTTTGTATTTGTAGGCCGGGGTGTAGCAGGAGCCTTCCATGGGAAGCTTCCAGGCTGTTTGGATTCTGCCTGGAACATCCGGGCTGGAGTCAAACTACAGCCATTCCTAAGGGTTCCACCAACTCAAGGAGGAACATCAGGCCTGTCTCTCAAAGACCAATGATGTTTTCCCATCTCTGAATGCTAGGGGGTCAGTGGTGGGTACCTGGTTACCCCTGGGGCATCTTCACTGATACCTCTGCTCAGGGCCGCTCTCAACACCCTCAGCCACTAGGGCACATCCAGAATTTTAGAGACATCCAGGTAGGCAAGGGGGGAGCACTAATGTGAGCAGGCCTGTCTGGACTCAAGCTACAGGCCCCTGCTGTGCATGATGTGGGAACCTGGTCATTCCCATGCCCCATATAGAACCCAGGGCTGTGGCTCCCCCACTGAGCATCCCTTGTCCCACTGTCCTCCCCTGCCTTGGGCACTGCCCAGCCCTCCACTCCTGCATCACAGCAGTTTTAAGATCCCATTATTGTACTGATTTATCCTTGTAATAAACGTTTCTGTAACACCTGGTGCCCTCTAGGTCTCTTGCTGTGCCACCTACCCCGCCTTTGCCTGAATCCCATTCTATTGCTATGTCTGCTGCTCTGACCCCTGGCAGCCTCCGGAGAGGACAAGCCCATGATGTATGGGCCTTAGGAGGAGCTGTGGCCAGAATGTCTGCACCATCTCAGGACTTATCTGCTTGGAGTAGTCTGGCTGTAGGGTGATGGCCTGCATTTAGCTTGCTCTAGGCAAGCCAAAGCAAGATCCATGCCTGAAATAAAAGCCCTTCTAGGCTCAAGAGCCTTGGAGGACAGGAAGGAAGGGATGTGAGCCAGGGTGACCGAGGCTCCACGGAGCTGCCTAGGGCTACCAAGGTTGGATACAGGGTGTGAGGGGGCCAAGGAGTCCATGCCCCTGCCTCCTGCTCTCGGGTTCACCATCTCTTCTATCCCAGGAGCTGCTCCTGGGCAATGTGGAGGGGAAGGCATCTCTGCCTGCCTCAGGCCCCAGCTCAGCACCAAATCTCCAATATCCTCTCAGACCTGAGCCCTCAGGAGCCTGCCTGGGCCAGCACAGGGACTGGCCTGGCCTCTAGGTCACTTGGATGGAGGGCCCTGGGGTGGCAGGTTATGCACATCCCATATCCGTGTGTGCACCTACTTGTAAGACACAGCTATGCATGTATGCACACACACATGCTGCATGGATTGCAAACCCCAGAAACAGAGATTAGCCTGTGGGGTGGATATGAGGGGCTGTTGTTGGGATAACATTTGTAGAAGCGTGGAGAAGGAGGCAGATCTGGGCAGACGGAGAGGTCAGGCTGCAATGCAGTCCTGAATGACAGGCTGGGCCAACCCACAGAGGAGCCAGAGTTGACCCAAATTGGGGTGAAGAGCCAGGTCTTTCTACTCCCTCTTGACCAGTCATTAGATGTGGGCCACCCAGAAAGAGGGTGTGACCTCAGGCAAGGCAATGGTCTTCAACTGTGACAACCCGAAAAGATTTGCCCTGAAGACTGTTTGCTGCCAGGACCTGCAACAGCTGGAAAGCTGTCAATCCTTCCTGAAGGGGCCCTAAGTGGCATATCACCACGTTCACCACACCCACCCACCCAGCAGCAGACGCGCTGGTGCCCACCTAGATCCCCTCTGCATTCACCTCTTCACTCCGAAGGCTGCTTCGGTCGTGTTCTACACAGGTTCCCTGGGCTCCCCGGTGGGACTGAGCTCAGTTGCCTGCAGCAGCATTCTGCTTGACACATGCCCTTCACTGGCTGACTGCCTCTCCCTGCCTCCTTCCCTACTCCCCAGCTGTGCTTCCTGGGATCATCTCCCAATAAACCGCCTACAGTTGAACCCTTGTCTCAGGATTGGCTTCTGGGAGAAGCCAAACCCTGGCACAGAGCATGCACGTTCACACGCACATGCACATGTTCCACATATATGCACACACTTGCATATACATGTACCCACACACATGCATACACATACACATAGGCACAGCCACGCACCACACAAACCTTTGTGCACACACATGCACATGTACACAGGCACAGCCCACACATGCACAAAAGCTGTATGCACACACATGCACCCATACATGCACCACGTGCACATATAAGAGGTGAAGAAGGAGGCTCGCACCTGTAATCCCAGCACTTTGGGAGGCTGAGACAGGAGGATTGCTTGAGCCCAGGAGTTCAAGACCTGCCTGGGCAACATAGTGAGACCCCATCTCCACAAAAAAATTTGAAAACTAGCTGGTCGTGATGGATGATGGTGCATGCCTGTGGTCCCACTACTATATGGGAGGCTGAGGCAGGAGGATCGTTTGAACCTGGGAGGTTGAGGCTGCAGTGAGCCATGACCACACTACTGCACTCCTGCCTAGGTGACAGAGTGAGACCCTGTCAAAAAAAAAAAAAAAAAGAGAGAGAGAGAGATTACTTTTTAAAAAGGAAGAAGAGAAGGGGGTATGGTGGCTGAGGAGTCTCACCTGGCCCTGCCTGCGCTGTGGTCCCACCCATCACCAGCCTGGCTGAGGCCCTGGAAAGGGCACACGGCAGCATGTACCCTGGTCCAGGCCTTGCTTGGACTGGGCAGGCAGTCTCACAGTCCACAATTCCCACCTCCTTCCCAGCCCTCTGAAATGCTATTCCAGGCTTTGAGAGGCGGAAAGAGAAGCCAAACAATTATCTACCTTTTTTTTTTTTTAGATGGAGTTTCACTCTTGTCGCCCAGGCTGGAGTGCAATGGTGCAATCTCAGCTCACTGCAACCTCTGCCTCCCAGGTTAATGCGATTCTCCTGCCTCAGCCTCCCGAGTAGCTGGGACTACAGGCATGCGGCACCATGCCCCGCTAATTTCGTGTTTTTAGTAGAGATGGGATTTCAGTTGGTCAGGCTGGCCTGGAACTCCTGACCTCAGGTGATCCACCCACCTCAGCCTCCTAAAGTGCTGGGATTACAGGTGTGAGCCACAGCGCCTGGCCACAATTTTCTATTTTCAACCTTGGACCTGCCCCTCTCCTTTTCACCCCATCCCTACCCTCAGCTGCAAATTCAGGCTCTGTAGAAGAAAATGGAATCAGACACGAAGCCCTGGGGGCCTCCCTCATGCAGCCCCTAGAAAGGACCCATCTGTGGATCCCAGCGTTGTCCTGAGCAGACGCCCACCCACCCTCTTCCCCTGGCATGCCTGGGGCACTTGAGGCTCCTGCTTCCCAGCTCCGCCTGCGTCTGGCTGCCTGAGGCCCCTGGGAGGCATAGGGGCTTCAGCTACTCCCGTTCAGGCTGGCTCCTCAGGCTGGCAGAGACAGGCTGGGGGCAGGGAGGATCCCCTGGGTAAAGGTGCCCGTGACAAGCTGCAATGCCAGCACATCTGTGCAAATATTACCAATTATTTTCCTCACTATAAACACCCAGCAGGAAGGCAGAGAAGCAACCAACCCAAACTGTTCAAAATAGAAACTGAAATTGCTGCACAGGGAAGTTGGGGCAGCCGGCAGAGTGGGGACCCTGCACCAAGAACCCATTCCCTGTCCCCGCATGTTGGACCTGATGTTGGACCTGCTCTGGCCGCCCCCACCCTTCAACCCCATCTCAACTTTCTCCCCTACAGGCCAGGCTGGAATGGGATGGAAAAGGGCCTCACCTAGGGGACGTGGGATATAAGGGAGGGTGGCCAAATGGGCCCTGTGCGGGGGTGGTCTGATGGCAGAGGGGGCAGCCACACAGGAGCCAGGAACTGAGGCTATCTGGCCTGTGGTCCAGAGCAGCTGCTGGGCAAGTGGAGCCACAGGGACTGTGGGCAAAGGAGTGGAAAGAGAGCCTCCCTTCACTGTTCCCCAGTCCCAGGGAAAAAGGGGTGTCCTAAGGGTGGCAGGCCAGGAACCCTGGGCGATGGACCAAGGGGCAACAGTGACCTGGCCCCACTCTGAGTGACAGGAATTTTTCTGATGGTGGGAAGGACTAGAAACCCACTCCCAGAACCCCGGCAGCCTTCTCCATCTCTCCCTCTCCATGAATAGGGCTGATAGACAGCAGGTCCGTGGACACAGCTGCAGGGATTGTCAGAACAGTGAAATACTTCCACAGTAGTTGATAAACAGGCCAAGCCCTAAATCCTCCCAGTGTTCCCTCTCCTGCCTCCCTGGCCCCTCCCCAGAACTCCAGACCTCTCTGCTCCAGGAACTTAAGTGTTAACAGCTGACACAGTGGGCCCCTCCCCCAAACGCACCTGTCCATGCCTGACTGCCCTGGTGATTAAACGGCCCTGATGTTGCCCCTGGGCACCTGCACCACTCATCAGTGTGCCCCTGCGCCCTGCTGCTTCCCAGAGACATGCTCAGCACAGTCCCTGAGCCCTAGGCCTGAGCCCCACTCAGAAGGTGGGGCAGGGGTCAGTGGCCAAAGGTGTGAGTCCCGGAACGCTGCAGGAGGAAGGAACCCGGGAGGTGATCTAGTCACCATCCCTCGTGCTACAGATGAGACAACAGAGACCCAGAGAGGGTTTCCGGTTGCCCAATGTCACCCAGCAAGTCATGAGCCAAGCCCAGGCCTTGCCTCACAGGCCCTGGAGTTGCTGAGCTAGGCTGGTGATGTCTGCTTGCCTTGGAAACAGAAAACCCAGGGACAACTGCTGCTGCCGCCCATTGAATATTAACAAACTTGCTTCTCTCAGCCTTCCTTCCCCGGCTGTTTCCAGCTTCAAAGGCTTCCCCAACTGGCCCCTCCCTGGGACTGACATCTTGGCCCTTCTATTTTTGGTGGCTTGGTAGGGGTGGGACAGGAGAGCGACCGCCTTGCTTTTGCCTGCCCTGAGCTCATGGCAGCCCCCGGGTGCTCTCTCATCCTCTCTGCCTTTCGGGGAGGCGCTACTCTGGGCGGGGGAGTCCCCACGGGGAGACTCAGATGTTCTGAACAAAAATAAAAGGTGCTCGTGCGGCCCATCTGCATTTCCAAATACTTCCAACCCACATCCCTTGAACTGCTTTTACCTCTCTCCCACTAAAGAGCCAGGCAGGTTTCAAAGCGGGTTCTAGCTCCTCCAGGAAATGACAGAGAAAGAAATTCCCAGGGGGCAGGATCCCTCAGAGGCAGCCGGAAGGGGACAAAGGGGACAATGAGTGTGCTTGCACCAGTGGGCAGGGCTGGGGTGAGGCAGCTGGGCCAGGCTACATTGACAGAGCACCCTGGGTACACAAAAGACCTTCACACCACTCTCTCTACCACTGAGGCAGGTGTTCTTGTCCCCATTTCACAGACAGGAAGACGGAGGACCGCGAGGCCTTTCCCAGTTCCACAGATCGGTGAATGGTGCCTCAGCCTCTGGGAGCCTGCCGTGGCTCCACCCTCACCCACTGCCTCCCTCCCTGAAGCCAACTCCTGGCCATTTTCTCTCCTTAACCTCCTCCAGCCCTGTCCCTAACACTTGCACTCAGAGCTGGCTGGCCCAGAGCACAGCCCAGTGGTTAAGAGCAGAGAAGATCAGCCAGGCACGGTGGCTCATGCCTGTAATCCCAGC